CACAAGCCAGGCCTCCTGTGCGTATGAGAAACATTAGCAATTCGGCCTGCCAGTTAGCCTTCTGTGATCACTCATTATTGCTTGAATGCTTGAAAAACGAACAATATTCTACATCTGAGCACGTGAAATTAAGGGTTAAATTCTCAGGATCCAAGTGCCAATGTGATGACTAAAAATGACAGGTGGGAGAATCAGAACAGAACTATTATTGTTGTGAAGAAAAATGCTATTCTATCCACAACAGTAAAGGAGTATATGGTGCGAGTTTCAATCTCTGAGTTTTTATGAGCTTTCTAAATACCGATTAAACATAGGTGAATCACAACGAAGCTTTCAAAAGAGGAATTCCAAGGGTGTAATGTCCTGTTTACTGACGACCTGAGGCTGGCTGCTGCCTCCATACCCCCATTTGGCCATCCCATCTTTCTGCCCATCCCCCCAAACTCGTCTACAATAAAGGTTAAGTAAATGAAACAATGACCAGCCCTAAATGTGACGGCAAGTCGGCATTTACAATGATTTGCAAAACAACTCCCCAGAGGACCTAATCAACCCTGGGGCACACTACTCAGACTACTTGGTGGTTGTCTAAAAAGATAAAGCCCGTACTTTTCAGGGGAGCGCACTGGGAAGAAGGGCGCCTCGGGGAAGCAAGGAGCTGCTCCAGACCCCAAGACCCATGGGATCCCGACCCGAAAGCAGCCTCATTAAGGGTGTTATATCCACAAGAATTGTCACCCCAACTTTCCACTCCTAAAACCTAAGCGTGAAGTTAAAGGGGTGCTGGGGTGACAGGGAAAAGTATAACCCCCGATTTTCTATGCTTGGGACCCAGAAAAATGCAACTGGCAAGTGAAACGGAGACAGGGCCACCGAGCACGCGACGCGTAGGGGGCATAAGGGGGAGTGGGTGGTATCTGTGCTGGGCGTCCAAACCCACAAACCCAAGAGAAGAGGGAAGACAACGATCGGGGTGATGGAGAAATGCAGATCCAGGCACCGGGGTGTGTCAGGACTTGGGGTCCGGGGAGAATGAGCCTCCTTGGGGGCTGGAGGGCTCCAGGCGAGCTCGAAGCGGGTGGTGGAGGCGACAGCCGTCAGGCAGCGCCAGCGCACCGGGCAGGTTCCCAAAGATCTGCTCGATGGGAATGCCCGGCCCGAGCAGCAAGGGGCAAGGCGAGCGGGGGCCCGCGGCCCTGGTCTCCCGAACAAAGCCGGCGCGCGCGGGGCCTGGCTACTCACAACAAGAAGCTCATGTCGGCCGCGGCGTGGGCTGGGGGGCTCGGCGGTCTCTAGGCCTCGGGGCGGCGGCGGCGGCGGTTCCGGCGGCGGCCAGGGAAGAAGAGGGAAGGAGAAAAGAGGAGAAGGAGAGGAGGAAGAGGAGCGCCAGCTGCTCGATGGCCACAACTTGTTCTGCTTTCCTAGTTCCGATGGCAGGCAGAGGGGGCGGAAGTGGGAAGCGCACGGCCTGAATCACTCACTGGGAGGGGAAGGAAAAGAGGGCGGGGAAAGGGCCACACGCCCGCTCCCCGGAGAACAGCCGCCGCGGCTTCTGAGCTGCTCGCCGCACCTCTCCGTACTCCTCCTCTTCTTCCTCCTCCTCTTCCCGCTCCTAACCCCTAGCCCCCCGCGGCCCTCACCTCGCGAGCTCTCGCGAGAGCGGCGCACGCCCACCCTCCTTCTTCTGTGGCCGCGGGTCAGCCAAGTTCTGGACATCTTTGCAGCCCCAGACCACGCCCAGCGAGTGCACTGGGGCCACCAGGCCAGCGAAGGCCAGTCCACTCAGTTGGGGGTTGTGGCAGAGCCCTCCGAACTGCTTAGCTGGGTTTCAGCAGTCAGGAAGGAAGTGGGCTTCAACTCTGGGATGTCAGGGTTCTGCAGCGAGGGATGGAATTGCCACCAGAGTTCTGCCCGCTGCAAGTGTTCAGCAAAGGATGATGAAAGGTTATGGAGTCTTTTGCTAGTAAATAAAAACAGGAGGGAGTCTAACATGTTTTGAATGGTTTGGGTGTGGTTCGGCCAGAAGAGAGAAAGTCTAAATGGGTTTTCAAGCTCCCTGTCGTTTTATGGTTGTATCTTAAAACCCTGAACTAGGAGAGGTCAGGGTCCATCATTGTTTCAACAGGCGAGTTAGGCTGTCATCAGTAGCTGGGAGAATGGCTGTAGTGACATATTCAAGGTATGTGGAGCATTCTTAAATAGAGTATAAAGCCTGGACCTGAACCCCTTAACTCTGAAATGCAAGACTCTCTATAAGGGGTACTGAATCAGTTTTGTGCCTCTAGAATGTTTTGTGCAGCAGAAGGCCCAATGGTTGGTTATAATGGTCTTGGGCCCCATAAATGCTTAATCAGCATTGCCACTGATGAGCAGCCTACCACATTATCAATTCGAGTACCCATTTATTTTACACAGGAGATGTACATCTTCTTTATTTGCAACACGCATCAAATCCACAAGTTTTTAAAGTATCTGAACAAAACTTAAATAATGTACAGCTATTTGGGGTGCCTGGGTGGCTCAGTCAGTTGAGAGTGTCTGCCTTCCGCTCAGGTCATGATCCCAGGGTCTTGGGATTGAGCCCCTTCCCCCATCGGGCTCTCTGCTCCGCGGGAAGCCTGCTTCTCCCTCTCCCATTCCCCCTGCTTGTGTTCCCTCTCTCTGTCAAATAAATAAATAAAATCTTTAAAAAAACGAGAGCAGGGAAAGCCTGCTTCTCCCTCTCGCATTGCCCCTGCTTGTGTTCCCTCTCTCTCTGTGTGTCTCTCTCTGTCAAATAAATAAATAAAATCTTTAAAAAAAAGAGCAGAGAAAGCCTGCTTCTCCCTCTCGCATTCCCCCTGCTTGTGTTCCCTCTCTCTCTCTCTGTGTCTCTCTCTGTCAAATAAATAAATAAAATCTTTAAAAAAAAAAAGAAGGAACAATATGAAATATATTCTGAGAGGTTTGTGAAGTATTAGTTTAGTATGTCAGTAAATCAAACCATTTTTTAAGCAGAAGGAAATATTGGATTCTTGACACTATCTCAGAAATAGCAGAGGTTACTGAAGTAATTTGAGAAGACTTAAAGACTCAAAAGTTGGAGGAAAGAAGGGGAGAAAGGATTTATCATAATATAGTGAAAATAATGGATTTATGACAAAAGCCCAGATCTTGATTTGGTACTACTAATTTACTATATAATTCCTTGAGGGTCTTCTGAAAGTAAAACTTGAATTACCAGATGAGGAAATTATGTTTGGGAAGAGTAAATCAGTTAACCTGTTAGAACAACAGTCTCAACCCTGTTAAAATGAGGGCCTTGGATTATTACATGATCTGTAAGATATCCTCCAGTTCTAAAATTCTGTCATGTCAGGGGTATCCTTCAAATGACTGGCAGACAGTTCCCATCGGCTCCCTGATTTGGTAACTGGCTTATGTAGCTTTGCTCTAACACAATTTAGATGAATTCTCTGACACTGAATCAAGATAATGATGGGCAGAGGAGAGACTCTGCTAAATTACCTGCTGAGTTCTTTTCATATCTCAAGGAGAGTTGCCTGAAATTAACAGCTGATAAAACGTAAATATATTGGTCTTAGAAATGATAGAGATGTCATGTTAATAATACAGAATATAATTCCAGAGGTTAAACATTTAAATCAAACCATGGCTGTCACTTAAAATTATTCAGATTCAAAAGCATTGGGAAATTTAGAATCAAATAGGGGGTATATTCAAATAGACGTTTCTAATTCCAATTTCACCTTCACCAATTCATATTTCATATCACTCTCCTCTTAAAATTTTGAGAAGTTACTCCCCTGATCAAAATCTTAATTCGTTTATAAATCTTTGTTTATGAAGGAAGATGATTAAAATTTGTATTTACCAATTTTTCAAAGAATTGACACTATAACATGAATGGAATAGAACATGTGTGGGTATGCCTTCAAATATGTTTTAAAAAGATTCATTCAAATTTACGATATATATATATATATATATACGCACACAAACAAGATAGTTATAAATTGTAGTAAGATAGGAAGTAGACAGAATAATGTGATAGTAATGATGAAGGGAGAGGATCTAATTTAGACGGAGTGGTTAAGAAAAGCCTCTCTAAGGACGTGACATTTTTGCTAAGACCTGAAACAAGAGAAGAAGCCAGCCTCACAAAGAGCGAGGGGATGACCATTTTCTAGTAGAGGAAATAACAAGCGCAAATGCTCTAAGATAAGAAAGAGCTTAAAGAGTTCTTAGAGCTGAAAGGTTATGGCCTGGACAGAGTGAGCAAGAAAAATGGCATCAGATAAAGCTGGACATGTAGACAGAGGGCAGGCTGGGGTTCACAGGCCTAGGCAAGACATTTGGATTTTATTGTAAGAACATTGCAAAGTCAGCAGAGAAGTAAAATAAGATAATCCGAGTAACATTTCATTTTTTTTAATTTGGAAAATTTCAAACATATACAAAGGAGAAGAAATTAATATAATGAATCCATCACACAGCTTCAGCAATTATCAGCTCATGATCCGTGATTAACATTTGGAAAGATCACTCTCACTTTTTGTGGAGAATGGACCAGAGGGGGCCAACATGTCAGAAGGGAAACCAGAAGACTATTCTAATAGTCCAATTATTTCTCAGTTGTGATTTGGCTTAGGGTAGTGTCATTAATAATAGGAGAAATTAATAATCTCAAGGTAAAACCAACAGCATTTGGTGATTGATTAATTGTGGAGGTTGGGGAAAGGAAGGAGTCAAAGATTACTCCAATTATTTTTGGCATTAGCAATTAATGGAAATAGCCATTTATTGAAATAGGGAAGATATGAGTCACAATTTGGAGGTAAAACTAAAAATTCCATTTTAGATATGTTAGCTTTGAGATGTCTATTAGACATCAAAGTAGTGATATCAGGTAGAGTTTTGACTGCTGTGCAAAGAGGGAGTAGGGAGACCTGAACTAGAGGCATGAATGCAGACTTCAGTAAGTAAATAGTATTTGAAGCCCTGCACATTGTTAGAGCTTGGAGTTGAGGCTGGTTGGCCAATGAACTCACAAGTGTAGGTAGTGTACTACATGAGGGGCAAGTCTTTGGCTAATGCCACAAGTGTCTCTGGCCCGATGAGTGGAGTTTGGTAGTAATTCTTGCTACAATTAAAAAAAAAGTATTTGAATCCATAAGATGGGCTTCCAAAAAGGAATTTACATGCCCAATAAGGATAGACATAACGAAGTGTTACCTGTAAGCATCTGAGTTTGTTCTTTCTTTACTTCTCTTCCCAGATATCTCTGGTTTCTGATCACTATTTACCCGGTTGTGATGATGATGTTGTAGTTATGTTTTTTTAAAGAGCCCATATGTTTTATAAAAATATGCTGAAATATTCACGGGTGAGATACTATGCCTGGGGTTTGCTTCAGAATAATGTAGGAGAGGGAAGTAGGAGTATAGATGAAATGAAATTGGCCATGAGCTGATAGTTGTCAAAGCCAGGTAGACAAGTAGACGAGGATCCTTATACTCTCCTGTCTGTTTTGTTTTGAAATTTTCCATAATAAAAAAGAAAGAGAAATAGCAGGTCTCCTTTTGAAGAGGACTAGAAAGGTATTATTAATGATGGGAACTTAAAATTTGCTGTTATAGACAATGATTCTTTGGACTAGAGCATTTTTTCCTTGTCCTCATATTAGCCAGGTTTTTGCCTATATATTAAGATATTCTTTTACAGGGCGCCTGGGTGGCTCAGCTGGTTAAGCGATTGCCTTCGGCTCAGGTCATGATCCTGGAGTCCCGGGATTGAGTCCCGCATCGGGCTCCCTGCTTGGCGGGGACTCTGCTTCTCCCTCTGACCCTCCCCCCTCTCATGTGCTCTCTCTCTCATTCTCTCTCTCAAATAAATAAATAAAATCTTTTTTAAAAAAAGATATTCTTTTACAAGGGGACCGCTTTAAAATAATCCAGCAAAGGGGGCGCCTGGGTGGCTCAGTTGGTTAAGCGACTGCCTTAGGCTCTTGTCATGATCCTGGAGTCCCCAGATCGAGCCCCACATCGGGCTCCCTGCTCAGCAGGGAGTCTACTTCTCCCTCTGACCCTCTTCCCTCTCGTGCTCGCTATCTCTCATTCTCTCTCTCTCAAATAAATAAATAAAATCTTTAAAAAAAAAAAAGAAAAGGTATACCTGGGCAACAAATCTTTAGTAACCTGATAAAATGCATTCTGTTGTGCAGCAGTATTTTGGTTACATAACATCTAGACTGATGTGGTAATTATTCCATCTAATTAGTTTATTTCATAAGACTGTTTTTATAGCTACCATATATTGAATATTTCTTTTTTTTAGAGATTTTATTTATTTATTTGACAGAGAGACACAGCGAGAGAGGGAACACAGGCAGGGGGAGTGGGAGAGGGAGAAGCAGGCTTCCCGCAGAGCAGGGAGCCTGATGCGGGGCTCGATCCCAGGATCCTGGGATCATGACCTGAGCTGAAGGCAGATGCTTAACGACTGAGCCACCCAGGCGCCCCATATATTGAATATTTCTGATGGTCTAGTCACTCTGCAAAGCTTTTCATATATTTTATCCTTCCGTCATTTATTCCTTACACTGCCCCATACAGTTGGTGTTAGGTATTACTTCCCCCATTTATAGGTAAGGAAACTAATGCTAAGAGGTTATGTATTTAACTTGCTCAAAATCACATAGCTAATAAATACAGTCTGAATTCAGTAAAGCCCATTTCCCTCTCCCCATTCCCAGGATGACCTAAATTAGAATGAATATATCCTAAGTGAATTTTGGCATGCTACACAATCCCACTTAACGTACCTAGCAATTCAACCTAACCCTTATTAATGCTCTTTAGATTTTAATTCTGTAACTTGCTTCATTAAAAACAACCATGTATGGTTATTCACAAACCAGTGTATGGTTATAAATGCTTCTCAAGGACATATTATTCTGATATAATAGAAAAGAATGGAGGTATAAAAGATTGGTTCATGAAACTTGGTGTCTCTCAGTGCATTCATTTATCACTGAAAGCCATAAAGTATCAAAACACAAGGCTTATTTAAAGCGTTATAGCAGAAGAAGAAATCTTCCCAATACCCTCCCAAGCTGTTCATTCTTTTGAAGGTGAGGTTTGTGCATCAGAATATTAAATTTAAGACAATGATGGGATGCAAATCATTTATCCACTGAACAAGCATTTATTGTCTACTATGGCCTTTGGGAGCAAAAAAATTACAAATCCTGTAGGTCATTGGGAAATACAGGCAATAAAATAAATAAAAACAAAATTAAAAATTGTATAAGTTTCAGGAAGGAAAAGTCCATGTTATATGTGAGCGTATATATGTGTATGTTATATGTGACCTTACCTATTTTTGGTTGTCAGAAAATTGGATCCTGTGCATTCAGAAATGAATAGTACATATTTACTCCTTGCATTTAAATTCCTGCTATGTTTATAAACAGCATAGTTTAATAAAACTACTAACCCTCTTATCATTGTCAGCCCACTTTTGGTGTTTTGAAGCACCATGATTTCGAAATTGATTTTTGTTTTCGAGAAGCCAGTCTTAGAACTTTTTGGAAGGTGTTACTTTCAGTACAATTGTTAGAATCTTAGTTCATAAGACAAAAATCATAAAAGATTTCTCACATGGACTCTGCACTTGCTCAGTAAATACTAAATTTCTCAATCTGTCAAATTTATTATTGGCCAAAATTAATTGTTTTCCCCCACTAAACTTAGACCATGTAGCCACTTTTCCAGGCAGCTGTGTTGGGAGAAGGAGGAGGAAGGGTCCTTTTTGAACCTATCAAAGCTGCTTTCCCCAAATTGATAGGACATTGCCAAGGTCAGAAAGCCTAAAATTAACTCTACCAGCTGTGTTTTGGTTTGCTTCATAATAGCATATGGGCTCAGGGGGTTCAATCTGGTAGGCTTGCTTGCTGCTTCAGTCTGCTGTGCCCTGAAAATTTGTTTGCCTGGAGTGCATGTTGTGCACAAGATGTGGTAGCTAAGCAGCTTGAAAGTGTATGGGGACTAAACAAATAAGTCTTTTTTAATCTCAAAGAGGCCTAGCAACAATGTGGGGGGTGGGGGATGGAAGAGTCACTACTGAGTATGTCAGATGTGCAGCTTAACTTTTAACCTTGCTGAAGTTTCCCTGAGAGCAAGCTGCTTATGTGCTGTCAGAGACCAAGAGATGATGATACAGTTTCAAGGAGTCTATGTTTTCAGCCCACCCATCTCCATGAGGTCCTTTAGCATGAAGGACCATATATAGGCATGGAGAGTATCCCAACTGGCTGCAACTTAAAAATACCCTAAGAATCAGCAGCTGTTACTTTCACCCACACAAATTCACAGTTGGCTTAATTAAATAGTGCCTATTCTCAAGAGCTGAAGGCCTTTGAATTGTGCCCTATGTTCTTAGGCTGCTTCCCCCATCTCCATTCCCCTCCTCAGAGTTACTTAAAGCAGAATGGATGAATAATAGATATTAATTACGAGCTGTTCAGGGTTTGCGTCAATGTATAATGAAACGTGGAAGTCAGATCTTCCAATATAGTCTTGAATCCTTGCCTATACAACCGCTGGACTCTGGGGACCCTAGGCAGTCCCTAGTCCTGGCCATTTGTTCTCTCTTGCTTATGGTCGTTACTGCACCCTCTTCTTGGCATTCTGTCATGTTTTTCACAGTTGTCATGGTCACAACCATAGCAACCTGAGCAGGCCACAATCCTCTTATAGCTGGAGATGTGAGTTACTGCTTTACACAATATAATTCCCCTGTACTGCACCAACAGGAATCTGGTGCCAGATAGTCCAACCATTTGTTTTTCCTTGGGAGAAATATTTCATCCCTCCCAAAATATCACTACCTTTAAGGTTTGTATGGCATCAGGGTAACCAGGATGCATCTACAGAGAAGCAGCCCAGGATAATCCGTCCCACATTGAAATTTGACCATTTCCAAATCTCTTATTTATAGGCTCTACTCTGTGTTTCCACACCAATCATTCCATTTGAGTACAGGGGAAGGGCTTTATAGAATGAAACCATGGTGAGCAAGAAGATTTCCTATTCAAAATAAAGCATTTGAAGGAAGTGATCTTGTAATGCACTCCTTATAAGGGATCTGAGAACTTTCTGGAGCCCTGCAGGATAGAGGACCCCTTGCAAGATTCATTCATTCAGTCAGTAACATTTATTAAAGATGGACCATAAACTAGTCACCATGCCAAGTATGAGGATACAAAAGAAATACATTACAACCCTCAAGGAGTTCATTTCTAGTGCCAGAGACTGACCTGTAAACAAATAATTACAGCACAAAATCTAACAGGATTAGGGCGCCTGGGTGGCTCAGTTGGTTAAGCGACTGCCTTCGGCTCAGGTCATGATCTCGGACTCCCGGGATCGAGTCCCGCATCGGGCTCCCTGCTCAGCAGGGAGTCTGCTTCTCCCTCTGACCCAACCCCCTCTCATACTGTCTCTCTCTCTCTCATTCTCTCTCTCAAATAAATAAATAAAATCTTAAAATAAAAATCTAACAGGATTATCTGCAAAGGGCTACAGGAGCTCAGCTGGGGAAAGAGTTAATTTGAGAAAGAAGATAAGGGTCACAGAGACTTTTACCAAAGAAACAAGGCTTAAAGAGTTAATGGACTTTCTACAAATCAGGAAGGGGTGAGAGAGGAATAAAAGGAAGAGAGAAGGCATTACAGAAAGATGATGCCACATGTGTAAAGCCCAGAAGCATGAAAAAAAATACATATGTAAACAAAGGAAATGTTGACTGCTACAACCAACTGCCATGTATGAACTCTCATTTATTCATTCAACAGTATTTATTGGTACTAACCATATGCTAGTTACTTATGTTAGCACTTAGGGGGTTATAGTAGGGTACAAAACAAATTCCCTGACCCCAAGAAGTTTATATTCTAGTGGGGAGGAGATACCTTGAATTTGTCAGTGCATTAACTCTAGTTGTGTTTGCATTTTCATCATCCCTAATTATGGCATGAAATCTCAAGCCTTATTAAAGCAATGTTTTAGAAGAGTAAAGTTATCAGGAATCAAGTACTGAAGAAATTCTAGAGTCACAGCATAAAGACAAAAAAGGTCTTCTGACCACTG